CCTCTTCAACCATCTCCCTCAGGATTAAACTCTGAATTTAATTCATGTTTAAACTCTGAATTTCTTGGCTTTTCCCACAAAGCCCAGTAGATTTTCCTGCCTGTTTCTGATTGCCTTGAGCTTCCAAGCTGCAGAGCAACTCCAGAGGGCCTCAAGGACCTTGTGCTGAAGGCCAAGTTGCTTGGTCCTTGCTGGGCTGAGGCTGATACTGATTCTTCTGCTTGATGACCTAATAGTGTAAGAACTCTTGGTTTCAAGTCAGAAATAGATAACAATAACAGCCTCAGTAATATATTTTAAGAATTATGAAGTGCAAACTTTCACGTGGATAAATGGTTTGGGTTAAAATCTACTCTCTCTGCTCAGTGTTTTAGGAAAAGAAGGAATTTCACTGGATTCTCCAGCATTTTAGGTGTGCTGCTGTTAGGCAGGCATTTTCTTTTCTGTTGGTCAGGATTTGGAAGAAGAGTTAGACATAGCTCTATGCTTCTTGTGAATTTTGCCCTTCCAGTGCATCATCTTGGTGGCAAAATTTTGGCAGTCTTTTCTTTGAGCAGTGTTCAGCAGATAATTAGATGAGTATTATTTCCTGGAAGTCCCAGTCTTCAATATATTCTTCCCCTTTGAAGAGTGAAATTGCTGCTCATCTCAAATGAGGTCATGCCCAGCAATTTCCTGATCCACAGGCTGTTAAGTCAGCAGAAAGCCTGCACTGCATTCCAGATCTGAGGGGGAAATAATTGTCCTCATTACCTGTCAGCCTGAGCAGGCAATATTTATTGGAGCATCTGTCCTCCAAGGGCTGGAGAACGTGCAGGAAAAAGAATTTTTGTGGTCAGATTTTGAGATAGAGGCCTTCCACTACCCAAGAGCAGCCATGTGCCTGCTGCAGACTTGGTGTCTTCTTGCTCTTTTCATGAAGGAATTCATCAGCTGCTCCTCTGAATTCCATGTCTGAGGAGATTCTAATATCTCCTGTCAGGGTGTAATGCCTTTACACTTGCATGCAGGGTTCTTGCAGACTTGTGTCTATTCTGCATTCAAATTCATCTGCCTGCAAGGGTTGCTGTAAGAGCTGCAGGTCTGAGTGGCTGAGTTTAGTGTTGTATAAATCATGTAAGGCGAGATCCTTTATTCCCAACAGATTGCCAGCAGGCCCTGAGGGTTCAAACAGAGGCTTCAAACAATGAAATCATTAAACCTTTCTTTTCCCAAATCTTTCTTGTGTTTATCTCATTGCTGTACCTTGTGATAACACTTAGCCAGAGCTAAAACACACTGTGCTAACAGAATGCAGCTGCACAGACAGCACAGTACAATTGGCTTTACTAGCAGGATATTGGTAGATAAAGGGAATTTTCACTTTTCTGTTAGCTAACACTGCATACCCAGCCAGGGTGCTTCCTTCATGCAGGCATTAATCTCCAGCTGAGCTGATTACCTGGCAGCTCTCCTGCTCAGAAACACGAGTCCCACTGAAAGCAGAGAGGGCAGAGATGCTGTCTCTGCTGAGAAGTCAGATCAGGGTCTTTATCTGCCCTGCCCAGTGGAGCAGCAGCACCACGGTTGTGTTCAGAAATGAGATCTCAGTGTTTAGCAGTTTCTAATCCTCTGCAGGGGAAAGTAGATTTTGTTGATTTAAGCGTGGAGCATTCCAGGGTGAAAACTGCTAATGTCCAAAGTCAAAGCTGGCACTGCACATTTTTTAAAAGTGACCAGAAAAAGGAGCTGCCCAAAGTCACTGCAGGATGTAGGGAATGGCCAGGGCTCTGCCACTGCTCCAAGGGAGACCCTGGAAAGTCTTTGAGCAAACTTTTCCCTGGTTTGGGTGTAACATAAAGGCTGCCTCTGACCCATGGACTAAAGCTTGTCTCATGTGAGCCATTCCAAACTTATGAAGCAAGAAAGATCATGTATCTTTTATTGCCCTGTGCCTGATTACATTACAGAAAGAGTAGTGAGATGAAAACCAAGTGGTCTTCAAAAGATTAATGCAACTGTTGCTGTGGCGTTTTGAGAGAGATTAAAGAATTGACATTGTCAGCAAGAACTGAACCTGAAATTTTAAAAGAGCCTTGTAGGGCTTGGATCAGTGGAGCAAGTGGTTGGGTAAAGCTGCTGAGAAATCGATGGAAATTCCTCAGGTAGCAAAAGAGAGGGTTTTAGCAAATCCATATTCCATGTGCTTCAATAATGTGTGCAGTAAGGAACAGCAGCACAGGGGTGTGCTACAGGGAAATAACAGGAGCAGGAGACACCAAATCCACTGGACTGACAGTAATTGGAATCATTTTTTACCAGAAAAAAAAATGACATGGAAATTTGAAGGAAGTATATTTTTTTCCCCAAGCTCAGACGTTAATCAGTCTGAGTAATTTTGGAGGACGTGTCACCCTTCAAGGTAGTTGGAGAGGAAAAATGAGACAGAAAAGTTTGAAAAATACAGTTTAAACTGGTTTGTTGCTTTCTAACTCTGACATAACAGAACATTAGCTAAGTATTGTGCACCAAATTGGATTCTAGTCAGACAAATCGTCTCCTTTCCAAATTCCTGACTATGGCACTTGATGAAACCATCCTCTCAATGAACCTTCCATGCAGGCACAGTATAGAAGATATATAAGAAAATATATCCCACTGTCTGTGGACAGGAAAAACCTCCTGGCTGAATTATGCCCTATTCTGGCTTTTTAAAAATTTCATGTTACTTGTTGCAGGGTCAATTAGGAAAGTGCTTTCGTAGGACCTTAACTAATGATCTGCTAAGCTGCTTCTGAAAACCTCCTCAATTAATCACAGGTCACCTCAGAACCAGCCAATTAAGGTGTACAAGGTTGCTTCACTTGCTTTCCACACATTTCTCTAAGATTTCCATCTTGTCATGAGCAGATGTAGCCAACTGTGCAGATTCTGCCTCTTGACTTTATTAAAACACCCCAAATTTCCATCTGTGGTGTGTGCACACAGGAATCCCACTTGGAGAGCTCTGTGTGTTTGTGTTCAACACAAGGCCACGTTTTGGGAAGCTCAGCCAGAGATTTCTTTTCTTTTTAAATGGGTAATGCATAATTTTAACACTGCCAAGTTTTGCTTTGGGATAGAACAAAGTGCAGAACCTGGGTATGAGTGCATTGTTCAATGCTGATGTTAAAGGAGAGCTCCTTCCTGGGAGGAAGATGGGGAATCCCTGATTTAATTTTTATGCAAGAGCATCTGTGTATGGAATTGGAGCTGCAGTCCTTCACCAGCAGGATGCACTCCCTCTGAAGTTGATCTACAGGTGTGACTTGCATGAAATACAGGATTTAAAATGCTGAAGCATAAACTCAGTGTCAGGAGTCTATTCTGAGTTCTACTCCAAATTTACTTCAAAGGCCACTTGTCACCATGGGAAGCCGTGCAACTCTTTAATTTCCTCTTTAAAATAACTCTGATTTCCAGCAGGTCTGTCAGGTTTCACTCAGCACCTCTGTGATCCACTTTGCTCACAAGCCAAGCAAACTTGGAGCAGGCTCAGGCATTTCTGGAAGTTTCTTGCTGCTGTTTCACGTGCCCAGGAATTTGTCTGTTCCCCTCAGCTGTACCAGTGGGTCTCATAAAGGCTGCAATAATAAAAATAATCTGTCTGTACATGTCCTGCCTCTCTGCTGGTACGAAATGATTCTTCCACTGATGGGAGCTGATGCACCCACTGATCCAAGCTGAGGATTTCCCCTGTGAAACAGCATCCTCTGGGCTGCTGCTAAACCCAGGTTTGCAGTTTGTGAGGCAGTCCCAGCATTACTGGGGACTCCCAGCTGCTCGTGTGCACTTCCTCGTGTGCTTTTTGCTCAGGGCTGAGCTGTTCCTGAGGAAGTGCTTGAGTGTTTCTTTGCATTCTGAGCTCAGTGTGTTGATGCTCCTGCTGCAGAAGCAGGGATGGACCTGCTGCAGAGCTGTGACTCAGCCAAAACCACTTTGTGACAGTTTTATGTGTGCTTGTTAACTGGCTTTCCATTAAAACAGAGGTGATCCAAAACTTAGCTCCCAAAGCACTGTTGTTTTATATACACATTCATGTCTGCTGTTCCCTAAGGTAAGGATTTTTTAAGGTATTTCATTGTAATGAAGTCCCTGCAATACCATTTAAAAATATGGACCTGAATAAATGGAGTTTTCATCCCTGCACAGTCTGTGAGTTCACACCATAAAGCTCTGTCTAGTTCAAGGGCACACAAGTGCAGAATTCTCACTCTGGTTCATCTTTCAGTCTTGAATGAAGCGGAGGCAAGAGGCACTGAGGAGCTTTCCAGAAGGAAAAATCCATTTCCTGATTTGCTTATCACAAACAAACAAATGAACAA